CTCCTGCTTCATCAATCTCAGCATCATCATACACCTCATACCCACTGAGTCTAGTTGATGGTTGTCTATTTCTCAAAGGTCTTTGATTTAATTCACCAGACTGATTACTGGCATTTATGTTACCAGGATTTTCATTATTAGAACACTCCTCTTCTTCTAATATGTTAGGAATTGGTCTTGAATATGTAGCAGATGCATCCCAATTCCAACCCTGTGTTTCTTCAAAGACCACATCTTTACTGTAGGAGAATGTCTTAGCAATTGGATCAAACAGTTTATAAGAGCATGCAGTATGATACCCAACCATCACCATTTGTATGCTCTTATCATCTAACTTTCTCCTCTTCTGATCTGGAATATGCTTGTAACATAAGCTACCAAAAACTTTAAAGTGCTTCACACTAGGTTTCACACCAGACCACACCTTTTCTGGTACTTCACCCTGAAGCTTCTTAGTAGGACACTTGTTTAGTATGTATACTGCAGTACTTGCTGCCTCTCCCCAAAGATACTTTGGAACTCCTTTCTCTCTAAGCATACACCTCACCATGTTCATAATAGTCCTATTTCTCCTTTCAGCCACCCCATTGTGCTGAGGAGTATAGGGTGCTGTGATCTCATGCAATATTCCATTGTCTTCACAGAATTTATTGAACTCAGTTGAGGTATACTCACCACCACCATCTGTTCTAAGAACCTTAATTGAATTGCCACTTTGCTTTTCAACAAGATTCTTAAACTTCTTAAAAATACTCAGCACATCACTTTTAACTTTGATCATATAGATCCACATCATTCTACTGAAGTCATCTACAAATGTAACAAAATACTTGTTACCTCCAAGTGTAGATGCTTCAAAAGGCCCACAAACATCAGAGAATACCACTTCCAACACCCTTGTTGACCTGTCTGGTACTTTATGTTTGTAAGAATCTCTGTGTTGTTTCCCTACAACACATTCCTCACACACAGTTGTTGGTATTGAGACTTGTGGAATCCCAATGACCATCTCCTTCTCATATAACAGCCTCAGACTTTTAAAATTCAAGTGGCCAAACCTGGCATGCCATAGCCAGGTATCATCATATACAGTAGTAGCTTTAAGACTCTTGATTTCTGCAGGTAACACCCTTGCCTTGAAAGTCCTATTTCTTGACAAAGGAACCTTTAATATCAGAATTGCAGCAGGATCATATAGCTTTAAATGTCCATTCTTCAAAATAGTCTTATAGCCCTTCTCCAATAATTGCCCCAAGCTTAATAGATTACACTTCATATCAGGCACATATAAGACTTCCTGAAGATACACTTTCTTCCCATTTTTGCCAGTCATCACAACATCTCCAACTCCAGCCACTTGTACTTCACTCATATCTGCAAACTTCACATTACACTTCTTCTTATCACAGAAATTTATCAACCAAGACCTGTGTCCTGTCATATGATTGCTGCAACCTGTATCCAAGTACCATGCCTCACCCATTTCAGATTTATCACAAGTAGTAGTCATTAGTACTACAGGTTCACTTTCTTCTGAATCCTCTTCCTCTACTGCAAAAGCCTCTTCCTGCTTACCCCAGTTCTTTGGCCTTTTATCCTTTCCTTCACCAAACCAACATTCATCTTTAAAATGTCCCCACTTCTTACAATTATGACACTGAATCTTCTTCTTGTCAAATTTCTTCTTCTTAGTCACAGTTTTAGGTTTATCATCTGCAAGCCTATCAGAATTTTCATCAGAATGATTATTTCCTCCTACCTTTGACTGTGCCTTTTGGTCACTTTTCTTAGCACCTCCTTTCTTAAATTTGTGGACCAAAAGGGCCTGTTCTTGCTGTTCTTCAGTATCTCTTTCTAACAGTTTTTGTTCATGAATTTCAAACGTAGTTTGCAGATTTTCAGTAGTCATTGTTCTAACATCTTTTGATTCCTCTATAGCACAGGCAATATAATCAAATTTCTTTAATAGAGTTCTCATGATTTTCTCATTGACATCTGAAACCTTAATATCATGATCACACCTTTGCATCGCATTAGAAAGGGATACTACTCTATTAAAGTAATCAGCGATAGACTCTGTCTCAGACATTTTCAACAATTCAAACTGGCGTTTTAGGGTTTGCAATCTTGCACGCTTTACCTTATCACTACCAGAATGACATTGTTCCAAGATCTTCCAAGCTTCCTGACTCGATTTAGCCATGGAGATCTTCTGAAAATGCACTTCATCTACAGCCTGATGTAAGAGGAACAAGGCTTTGCAATCTCTCTTTTTGGCCTCGCGATAATCCTTTCGTTCTGCTTCAGTTGGATGTTCGCCAAGGGCTGGAACTCCTTCGTCAATCACTTCCATCACTTCTTGGAATCCGAAGATGACTTTCATCTGAATGCACCACTTATCCCAGTTCTTGGCATCAAGAACAGGTAGATTTCCAAGAAAACCACTCGGATTAGACATCGAAGAGGGCCGGTGAGTATCAGTCTGCAGTCGTGTACGGTGGCGTTTTTGGTCCGGAGGAGCGTATAGCTCTGATACCAATTGATGGAGTTCTAACTGTAATAACGAACTAGTTTTAGAAGAGAGGAAAATTTTATTAACTCTGTATATGCCACCACACACACCACACAAATACGATCCTTACTATTTATAGAAATAGTAAGTATGTTTCAATACACCACATTCCGCACACACCACATTATTACATCCAGTTTGAATTATACACATCAACAATAATTAGTTAATTACCCCTTTTCCCAGATGGATGAGGCTCTTTCGTAGTAATTTTTGTGAATGAATTGACTAAAGTTAAGTTACTCTAGAAGTCAATTTTAGTTTTTTTCAAATATTTTTCTCTAAAAATTATCAATAAAGGGGTATATTTTAAAAATAACTTTTTCAAAAACCAGTTGATTTAACTGATTCAATTAATATCAGTATTATCAGACGAGTTAGATCATATAAACCTAATAGACTTAAAAAAAGAACTTTATTCTAATCACAAGAGAGTAATGTTACGTTATAAACTTATAAAAAGCTATAATTTTTAGCTTAGGGCACTTTTTATTAGTTCTGCAAATACAAGTTAGGGTTAACTAGTGTATGTATCATGTTAATTTCAAATCTTAGTATGATGATACTCTGTATTTAATAAGTTCAAATCATCAAATGAGCAATTCAATTCTAGCCTTAATAAAGACCAAAAGGTGTACATGTCCGCTACAACAAACTACAACCACCTGATTTTGAATTTCATGTTTTGAGTGATATTGAATTTTATATCGTTTTTTAAAAGATTAATGTATGCATCTCCCAGTGGGTAAAGTTTGCATCCAGTGGCGGAACCAGGTGGAGCGAGCATGTGCCGCCCCCCCGTTCGCCGGCGGCAGTAGTCTATATATGATGGTTCACCTGGGAGTTTTGCTGGTTGGAATATTGGCCTCCCCCTATGTTTCATGTTCGACTCCCCCGTACTGCTGCATTTTATTTTGCTTAGCCTTCACTTTGCTTAGTTTTGAATTTTTGACTCCGTTCATATTTAGACATGTGCCACATGCCTACTAATTTTGTTCAATTGAATCACTGTTTGACATGATGTTACTTAAACCATACTCTAAATTTTTATAGATCGATTTTGTTATACATTCTTATTTTTTAATACAAATTACTCCATTTGCCGAAAAAACAACAGATATACATCATTTGGAAAATTGTTTTAAATAAGACTAAAAATGTTTGTATATTCCAAAATAGTATTGTCATGTTTTTATTGTCTAAGTGGCATGAGAGTATTTTCAAACTTAATACTACATAATAATTACTCCTATTTAAAGAATAAAAACGTGACATTTTATTAGAAACATGATGATAATATGGTAAATAAATCAAAGTTTTCTCTTACGTACCGTGAAAAGGTGAAAAACAAATACTTCCTCTATTGTTTATTAGTTGCACCGCTTTCATTTTAATGTTTTTCAATGCATGCACAATGCTAACAATTAATTTTTTTAATTCCCTGATTGTATTATTTTTAAAAAATTAACATTTTTAAAATTTAAAGTGGGAACGATGTAATTATATTTTATAAAAAAAAAATTATTAATGTATTTGTGAATAAAAATATAGTCAAAGTAGAACACGTGAATTGCATAAAATTTCTGATGTTTTAATTATTTAAGAACGTTGGCAGTATTTACTAGTACATGCACCAGAATAAGTAAAAAGTGTACTCATTCACATTTTCACCGAAACAACCCTTTTCAATGGAGTCGCACTCTATATCTCTAATGATTAATTTTGACTCGTTTTTCCTTTATACTTATAAAAATTATTTTGTAAAAAAAATTATACCATGTATATATAAGAGCACCCCTTCGAATTTATCTCTGGTTCCGCCACTGTTAGCATCAATGATCAATCTAAATATCTAATGATTATATCATAGAATAGAATGTGCACATTATTCAAAAAATATTCAAATAGAGTGCATGTAAAGTTAAACTATCCGGCCTTCATTAAAACATGTAATATCAGCCACATATAGAAATCAAATACATAGCGCATACGTATCTTATTCTACAACGGTTACTCTGTTAGGTTAACATTTTAGAATTAAAATAAACTTTAAAATGTTAAGGAAATAGTGGATTCCAGGCCAGTTTCGTGTTCATTTCTTGACTGTGATCGAGATAGTTATAACTAGCCCCACTAGCTAGTCTAGAATTTTACATTTGATGATTATTATGTTTGCCACTTGAAATCATTTAAAATAGTTCACCCCTTTACATCGGGTATTGTCTTCACTTCCCATTCCTTATTTCCCACTCATTATACGAAGTACGTAGGATTATCTGAACTCCAAAACTAAAAAAACCTCTTTTATCCATTCAAATGCATCAAACCTTACGGTTTAAAAAAATGCATCAAACATTGAAGTCACTTTCATTTAGTGGGCATGACAAACCTGTTGCCGCCTTTTATAAGTTGGTGAACAATTAAATAGTTTGCAGGTATACCACACAGAACACTGAGAGGTGATGTTTAAGTTGGACAGTGTTAACAAGTTTAGGGCATAAGAAATACTTGGTAAATATCAATTTCAATCATATCGCGAAGATGAAGTTTATGAAGATAGGAGCAAGACCAGATACCTTCTACACCGAAGATGGTACAAGGTATGTCCATATATAGTAGCATACCTGATTATTTATGTGTGTGTGAGACAGGGGCGGATGCACCCTAATAGGAATGGGGGCACACTTGCCCCCAATAAAATTTCGATTTTTAGTTAATTTTTTTTATGCTATTTGTCATTTAATCATTTGTGCCCCAAATGAGGAAATACAAGTGCCCCCAATAAATACTTTATTTACAACATTTCAAATGAAAAAAGCTGCAAAGAGTTAGCCTATACTACGTATGTCATAAAAACTTAGTTGTATTTGAGTAAGGGAATATTCTCTAAATAGAATTAAAATATATATATATAAAAATCTCAAATAAAATTATCATTATTTTTTTTTTCTAAAATAAGACTTTTGCACTCATATTTAAAAAAAGTTTCTATTCTTTTATTCTTTTAGTGGTGCTAAATAAGTCATCTTGTAGGAAGCAAACATATTTAATCCAGTTTCAGAATTTTGTCTATATTTTAGTCCGAGCAAATTGTTCTTGAATGTTATAATTTCCATCTCTTAAAATTAATGTATATGTTGTCATTTCATTCTTTTATAACTTTTAAAACATGTTTGGTGGCCCTGTTTTCGGCTTATCGGTAACTTTTTCACCAAATAAGTAAATTTTTATTTCGCGCGTTGAGTTGTGTAACAATAAGAGTAAGTAAAGTATGAGATATTTTTCTGTCTGAAGTTACGGCAGAAGATCATCTTACTTACTTTTTTAATAATATTTTTTCTTTGTTTTATTAACAAAATATATTTTAAATATAAATTCTATATAATTCACCAGAATAAGATACTTTAGCCACTTCAGCTAGAACTTTACAAAATGTTAGCAGAATCAAATGATTAAGTCAATTTCAATGTTACAAATGAACTCTTAATTAGTTAATAAGTACGGTGCCCCCATTAACTATATTTTCTAGATCCACCCCTGGTGTGAGACACAATTATGAGTTCCATATAATGTGAACTAAACTTAATTATGGTTCCCAAATAACACAGGGTTATAAGTTCAGATATGCCAAGTGATCTTACTATCAAAATCAACAACATAACTTATCATCTTCACAAGGTATGTGTTCTTTTGATTCTTCTACAAGAGTGACAATTTAGTGAGATTTGATACAAGACTAATCTTCCTTTCATCCTCCTATCAGGAATGATAACCCTGATTTTTTGCTTTATTCTAGTCATATACTACCTCCGTTCTCTTTTAATTGCAACATTGGACTTTTTGCACTATTCACGTATTCTACTTTGACTGTATTTTATTGATTAATGTAATATAAAATAAATATTTTTAAAATATTGTTAAATTCTTGTCATTCTAAATTTTCAAAATATGAATTTTCTAAATTTTTTACCGATAAGGAATGAAAGATATTAATGATCAAACTTGTGCGTTGGCACACGTGAAATGTTGACTGTTGCAATTAAAAAGGAACTGAGGAAGTATGTGAGAGGTATTAGCCCTATGGGTCTTGGCTTCCCCTTCCCTCTCTTTCAAAACTAAGTCTTGGGCCTGTTTCTTTGAATACCGACCAGCCCACTGTATGTTCCTTGCTTGCTTTGCCCCTTCGTGGTTGACCTATGTTCATTATTGGGCTTTACCGACCCGCCTACTTATTGTCTTGGTTGACCTTCGTCTTTAATGAGCCGCCTCAGTTGTAACCCTAGTTCTAGAGTCCTCCTTGTAGAGAGAGAGTCTGACTTCTCTCTAGCCATTCCTCTTCTTCCGTCCCTCTCTTCACTTCAAAGTGTGTGTGCACTCTGTGATTTCTAGGGAGAGGCTTGAAAGGGTAGCTAGGTTGGGTTTGAGTTCCGTTATCTAGGTGGTGGTTCCCTGAATCCTTGTCCCAGTAGGTCTGTATGGTGGTTGTGAGTTGTTCAAGAACCCTTGAGTTCGAGTGGCTGGAAACCTGAGCTGAAAGATCTATCAGCCTTACGATACACGTAGTACGTAATATTCATCATTATTTCAAAGACTTTTTTCGATTCTTTAATATTTTGTCTCATTCAAATTAACCTAAACCAAATTATCAATTTCCGGTTTGATTCGATTCGATTCGGTTAAACCACACTATTTTGAGATTGGATATTTTGATATTGGATTGGTGGATTCTAACAATTTTCTCTCATTGTAGTATCCACTTCTGCAAAAGTGTGGACTCCTACAAAGACTCATATCAAATACAGAAGATTCGGACAATGTTGCCCTGGAACTGCATGATACTCCAGGGGGAGAAGAGGCATTCGAGATATGCGCGAAATTCTGTTACGGGATGACCATTAATGTCAGCGCACATAACTTCGTCCCCGTTTTCTGTGCCGCGAAGTTCCTTCGAATGACGGAGGCCTTCGAGAAGGGGAATTTGGCGGTCAAACTCGAGGCATTTTTAGCTTCATGCGTATTGGGAGGCTGGAAGGACTCGATTCTGGCGCTCCAGACGACGGAGAAGTTAGCCGATTGGGCCGAAAATGTCGGCGTGACCCGGAAGTGTATAGATTCGATCGTTGAGAAGATCTTAACCCCTCCGGCGAAGGTCCGGTGGTCATACACTTGCAGTCGCCATGGATTCGATAAAAAGCAAGCGAAATCGGCGCCGAGAGATTGGTGGACGGAGGATTTGGCCGTGCTTGGGATAGATCTCTTCCGATGTATAGTCACAACCGTTAGATCAACCGGATCTCTGTCGCCTCAGCTCATCGGCGAGGCCTTACATGTCTACGCCGGCCGGTGGCTACCAAACACCAAAAAGGCGAAATTGTCCTCAGTCGAAGGGATCGAGAGGAAGCGGAGTATTCTAGAGACAATTGTGAGTATGATCCCTATCGATGGAGACTCTGTTTCAATTAGATTCTTACTGAAGCTGCTTAGCGCGGCAAATTACTTAGGAGCATCTATGGTGACGAAAGCAGAGCTGATAAGGCGATCGGGGGAGAGGTTGCACGAGGCGAGGGTGAATGACTTGCTGCTGCCGCCATCTCAGGCTGGTGATGAAACTGGAAGCGGCTTTGATGTTGAATTGGTCGGGGTTGTTTTGGAGAGTTTCCTGAGGCAATGGAAGAGGCAGGCGGCGGGTGAAGAGAAGGAATCGGCGATGAGGAAGGTGGGAAAGCTGGTGGACTCTTATGTTCAAGTTGTGGCTAGGGATGATCCTAAAATGGCAGTTGAGCAATTGGTGTCTCTGGCTTCTGCTGTTCCAGATATTGCCCGACCACTTCATGATGAACTTTACCAGGCAGTCAACACGTATCTTAAGGTGTGCCTATAAGTCTATAACTAATGCACATAAGGTATGCGTATAAGTCAATACCAGTCCTTCCATTAGAAGGTTCTCGTTCATTATTCACATGAAACTTAAATCATTTTTAATTTTTTACTTTAGGAAAAATTGATAAGAATAATCTCATCTTTCACTGGTCTTCTTATAATAATCTCACCTTTACATAATCCCAAAATAATCTCACCTTTTTACCCCATCTTCTTTCATTGGACCATCTTCCAATAATACAAAGGTGGGATTATTCCTGAATTATGTAAATGTGGGATTATTAAGAGAAGACCAATGAAAGGTATGATTATTCTTATCAGTTTTTCCTTTATTTTATATATCAATTTTTTTTCAAATTTACTTTTCTTTTATCAGGCTTTGTAGCGGATTTAATGTAGTTTCTGAATATGTAAATTTTATTTACTAAAAATAATCAGAGTGTGATAAGGGATTAAGTTACTTTACCGTCGGTCAAACATCGTAAACAACGGGAACCTTCTAGTGGGACGGAGGGAGTACGTAGTATTGAATTACTCCCACCATCTCATAAAAATAGTTCTTGCATTGACGTGGATCGTAGTTTAAGAAAGTGGGAATAAAGTAAAAATGTATGGTTGTGGTTGAGTAAAAAAAATGTAAATGAAGGTGAGCCACACAAAACTTTTCAAAAGGGGAAATAAGAACTATTTTTTGGGACGACCCAAAACGGAAACCGGGAACTATTTTGTGAGACGGAGGGAGTACTTATTACTCCGCGTCTCCGCATTTTACCTTCAGGTTTAATGCTCCAAACACCTTTAAAGCATAGATTTTTTGAAGACGTTTTCCTTTGGACGAATCCCAGAATTGGGCCAGACTATATTAGACCAGACCGAATCAGATTTAAATAGACCATATCAGATCAGACTTAAATAGATCAGACTAGATCAGACTTAAACAAACTATATCAGACCAGACTTGGACAATTATAAAATACACAGATATCAGACATTTACAAGACTAGACCAGATCAAACCAGTTCAGGCAAGACTAGACCAGATCATATCAGACTAAAATAGATCAGACCATATCAGACCAGACTATACCAGACAAACAAATTTCAGTCCAAAAGAAAACATTCTTAGATGAAACTAAATATGTAGAACTATTTGTAGTAAAATCTCCCAAATGACTTTCCACGGGTAAAATCTATGAATGATACCTTAGTTATTGGTATTATTGCGTTTTGGAACTTTAACTTTTAGGTTTTTTTTAAAAATATTACGTAGTACTAAAATAAAACTTATTTACCTAAATATGACTAATAGTTACTATAATGTAGTGTCATGGTAACTTAGGTTTAAAAATTGAACATAAGATACTACGTAGTATTATATAATTACTACTTTAGTCATTAATTACAGTTTTGTAAAAACTTTTATTTTAGTCATAATATTATTCATAAATCTTTCAATTCCCAATATTATTCAAATTTCTAGCAAAAAATTATATACTTGGGGGCCGGTATCCTATTCGTAAAGTTAATTTCACTTTATTTTTTTCCACGTCATCACTAAAGTCTGGAATTTTGATTATACATATTTTTTTTACCCCAAATTTGAATAATATTCTAAATTTAAACATTAAAGTATACTTATGGTACTGATTTGAGTTATTAAAGAGTTAATAACTCATTAGTATAACTCTTTAACTCTTTGATATTCTATGTTCATTTGATCCATCCTACCCATGCTTTCCATCTAAATCATTAACATAGTATACTATTTTCACAACTGAAGGGTATTCCATCTCGCAGGTGCATCCCAATCTAAGCAAAGCCGACAGGAAGCTGCTCTGCCGTATTCTGGACTGCCGTAAACTATCACCAGAAGTATGTGCGCAGGCGGTGAGGAATGAGCGGCTGCCATTGAGAACCGTAGTGCAAGTACTCTACTTTGAGCAGGAAAGGGGTACCGCTAGAACCACCACGCCCAGTCAACTTTCAACACCCAAAGGAGATTTTAATGGACTTAGAAATAATCTGAAGTTGGATTCAGATGATCAGCGGCCACACAAGGCAACGGAAGAGAATCGGAGACGAAGAAGAACTATAGTTCATGAGGATGTTTCAAGGTCAGTGTCAACAAAGGGAAGAGATATTGGTGAAGAAAAGGAAATACGTGGAAGTACTAATAATAAGGCACTTCCTCGTTCACAAAGAGCCCTGCACGCACAATAAGGATACATATACTCTGCATTGAAATCAAATTCAATGAGCACTCTGTGTTTCATGAATATAATGCCAATTATATCTGGTTGAAAAATCTTAGCATCGTGTGCAAAGGTGAATGGAGCATGCAATTCAACGGGAGATTGATGATATTATTGATTTGTATATGTGATTGTTCATTTGATATATTCAAGAAAGATTTCGTGTAGTGCTTTGGAACAAACAATGTAATTAAATTGCAAAAATTGGAGTTAGAAGTTTCATGTCACTTAAAAATTAAAAGGAAAAATTCACACTAATAATCCCACATATTACCGGTCTTCCATTATTAATCCCTCTCATGCGTAATTCTAGATTAATATGTATTAAAGGGGTAACCTTCCACAAACACTCTACTAACCCGAAGAACCCGTCTTGACCGGTAATTAAGAATCACGTGACCCACACGTGATTATCCTCTCCCTCTTATCCCAAAATCAGAGGCCAAGCCCAACCGAGCTCTTGCATCCCAAATTCCGCGACCACCTGCGCGAGAAGACGAAGGAAGAGAACGAATAGCAAGGGAAGAGTAAGGTTAAATCTTTAACTTCTTGAGTACTGAACAATCATGAATTCAGTGAGTGGTTCATCTTCTTGGACCTGCAACTCGAATAGGAGGTTGTGCGTACTTGCCATCACAAGATAGAGCCGAAATTGCGAACGGGAAAGAGCGGTCCAAACATTGGAAGAAAGTTTTATGGCTGCTCGCTATGGCTTGTAAGTATCTCTGCTTTATAAACTTTTCATTAGTTTTCATTGGATGAAAATATTAGTTGAATTATTTTTAAACATTAGGGTTTATGTTGATTTTCTTTGACATATTAGGTAGGTGCTGATTCTTTATGTTGATTTGGTTGAACTGTTTAGTTTTAATGATGACTCTTTCTGTCATAAGTCATTTTGACTTGAAATAGTACTAAACATTTTGAGTAGAATGCAGATTGTAATGACAATGATGACAATGATGTGCAATATGTCGTTTTGATTGTAGAATGCAGATTGTCGTTTCTTTGAATGGTGTGAGGACAATGATGTGAAATATGATGTCCAAATAGTGAAAGATAAAGATCTACTAATTGAGCAGTTGTTGGCAGAGAAGAAGTTATTGGAAGAAAGAGTACTCAAGTTGAAGATGAAGAACAAGAGGTTGGCTGTAGAAGTTGCTGATTCTCGGATGGTGGCTTCCAAAACAGCTAGAGGAAAAGCATATGTTGTTATGGTTATGATAGCATCTTGGATAGTTTTTGGGATTCTTTCTTATTTGGTGTAATGTACCATGTAATGTTAAAGTGATGTAATATTGGATCTTGGAATTAGGGATGTTCACCTTCTGCTAAATTGATGTAATATTATTGGATCTTGTGATGTAATTACTTCTTATTTGAAGTAATGTACCTTCTGTTAAATTGATGTAATATTGGATCTTCTAATGTGTATGATGAACTTCTCTTAAAGTTTTGTTATTCTGTTAAGATCATTTGAACATGGTTTAAAGTACACTCCAAAGTATTCTGAACCAATTATTCTGTTATTCTGAAAATTTAAAGGAACCATTTCAAAACTGAACCATACAATCCAAAGTCTTTAGAATAGCAGTAAGTTAACAACAATACACATTTAAACCTTCAATACACTCCAAACTCCAAAACTGAACCATACACTCCAAAGTCTTTAATACAGTCCCAACCTCAAAACTTAACTATACACTCCAAAGTCTTTAATACACTCCAAAGTCTTGAAAACTATTGAAAAGCTCAAAATAGTGTTTGCAAAGTTAACATAACCTCCAAAGTCTTCAAATTAAACCATTTCAAATCATTTCACACCCTCAAAGTAAACAAAAGCTTTAAGAACAAGCTTCCAGTAACTTGAAATACAAAGTCAAAGTAAAGATAACCTCTGTTTCACCCGAACATAAGCTTCCATTAACTTAAAATACCATAACTTCATCATCACAAGTCAATTGAAAAGTTTAACAACAACAGAATTCTGAAATATAAGCACAACATCATCCAGTACATCAAAGGCAGATTAACAACATCCAAAATACATCCAAACTAAGAAATCCATTACACAACAAAATTGACAGAGTTTTAACATAAAGTCATTAGACATCATTGATGACACGACATTCTTTCACACTGATGCACTGCCATTGCTTGATGGAGCATATCCATCCCCTGAAAGCAGTCTGGGACCTCCTACTTGACCAGGTGACTACAAAAAAAAGGCCAATGATTTTCATTTAGGAGCACACCATTATAATAATTGAAAAAGGGATATGGACATTAAGTCTCACATTAAGAATGGTGTTTCCCTGACCATCAACGAACACACCAAATCCTTGAGGAACCTGCATCCAATTCATAAACACAATAAATATAACATTACTAAACAAATATACACTAAAATGCATTATGCATACTTGATTGCCTCTCCCTTTGGACCCCTCTCTGCCCCTACCTCTCATTATCAGCCTCCCACCTCTCCCAATTTGTGAAGGCTGGGCAGTGGCATTTGCATACTCAGTTTGACTGGCAGCCTCTGTAGAAGGTTGTGCATTCTTCCTAGGTCGCCCCCTTTGTCTTTTAGGTTGATTTGAAACACTTGAGGTTGTACTTTTGTCTTTGTCAGGGCATTTCCTGTTGTTGTGTTGAGTGGACTTACATATGCTGCAACACATTTGTAATCCATGCTTTGTTAACTTACCAGGTTTCTTTGGATCTTCATGAGGGTCCTTTCTCCTATTTTTCCTTGGTCTTCCAGGCCCAATTTTGATAGGTGGAGGATCCAATTCAGCCTCTTTTCTTGGCCAGTGCCTTTCACCAGGGCACAGAGGGATACATCCACTCTATATCTTCATGTAGGTCTCCTTCTTATAATACTTATCCACATAGTCTTCAGGGGCATGGTGAAGAAAGAACATGCAAGCTACAGAATGACAACAAGGGACTCCAGTCAATTCCCATTTCCTACATGTGCAAGTCTTTGAGATAAGATCAACGGTCATACTATCCATTCTATGGTTGACTTGGAAGACCATGAGAGATGAAGGCATTGCTGCACAATTGGCTGCTTCTTCCTTTTCTTTTTCTAGCTTTGCTTGAATCCTAGGACATATAATGTGGTGACTGACTTCCATTTGGTGCCTTTTCTGAACAATCCTTTGCATTAAAGCTGTCCTAATATCTTCCATCATGAATATTAAATGCTTTGTTCTAGCATTCAGAATGTAACCATTGAATGTCTCAGCCATATTGTTGACAATTACCTCACATTTGGTATTTGTTTTAATAAAGGCCCTGCAGAATTTGGTTGGGTCATATGCTTTGAAAGACTGGGTGGCTAATGGGCTCAGATTCTCCAATTCCCTTAAAGCATCATCATAATCAGCTTGATTATAAGCCTTCACGACTTTCCAGAAAGCCATCTTAAGCTCATCCCCTTTATGGTTTTTGTGCTAGTTGGCATAGATGTGCCTTGCACAATGTCTGTGTTCTGCTCTAGGAAGCACTTTCTGAACTCCATTCAAAATAACCTATCAGCCAATGAACAATGTAACCTCAGATCAATCTTATAAAGAACATAGTCACTAAAGTATACAAAATTACAATAAAACACAATGGTCAAATAGTAAAAGGGAAAGAAAATTACCTAATGTTCATAAGAGATTATAGTAAGCTCAGAACCACATGTTTCACCTATTGCTCTATTTAGGTGAATGAAGAACCATTCCCAGCTATCATTATTTTCCCCTTCAACCACAACCCAGACAAGGGGATACATCTGCTCATTTGCATCTCTTCCAACTGCAGAAAGTAAGACTCCACCCAAAAATGTTTTCAAGAAACACCCATCCACACACAACACCTTTCTACACCCTTCTAGCCAACCTTGCTTAACACTATCAAAACACACAAAAAGTTTCTGAAAAACTGGTGGAAACACTCTTAATTCAGGATTGACTTGAAGCTGGAAATGGCTGGTAGGACTGGCAAGTGACAAGGCCTCAAGATACCTCCCAAGTTTGTTGTAGTGGTCCTTCATACTACCATGAAGTTTCCTATGGGCAATGTACTTAACTTTGTAAACAAAGTTCCTCTTAACAACCACTCTATATGCTCTGCGTATGGTTTCAATGATTTTCTTAGCTGGCCAATGGGGTCTTGATTTAAAAACTTCCAGAAATTGCTTAGCAACCCATGAAGATTTCAGTTGTTTGCTTGATTCCATGTTTCTGAGACACCTGAGCTCCCCTACAACTGATTTGACCACAAAACACCCTCTGCTACTGTCCCAACTAGCATATATCCTGAAGGGACACCTGGGTACACATATTGCACCTAACCTTTGTTGCCTTTTCTTATCACTAACACTGAACATCAGATTTCTGCCTTGGGCTACTGCAAATCTAACCACATCATATCTAAATTTCACTCTACTCTCAAATTTGGTTCCTACTTTCAACTCATGTATTTTGTAGTCAGTATGTTCATTAACAATTGGAATCCTTTCCCTCCTTTTTTTCAATTCATATTGTTCTTCATCTTCATATGGTGTTAAAGTTTCTTCTTCTGTGTCTTCATAGTCACTAATAAAGACAGAGTCTTCCTCTATACCTTCTTGCACCCTTGCCTTATTAGATCTCTGATTTTGCCCTGGCATTTTACCCTCACCAGCTTCTTTTTGAAGAGCAGCTGCAATCCCTAATATCTTGGCATTCCACCCCTTAACTTGATCCCTAACCTTTTGATACTCTTCATCACTGGTATCATGATCTGACCCAACCAGACCCTCTTGTATGTTCTCTAGGTCTCCCTCTTCTGAAGTATCACCTTGGAAATCAGAATTGTCACCATTTATGTCACCTTCTTCACTTGCAGGAGTGTACTCTGGATCATCTGAGTCTTCTTCTTCATCCCATGTAAATGGGCTGTGGGGCCTGTCAGCCTGAAATGGATCTGGAGCAGTGGTCTGAGGTTGTGAAGTACCCACATGAACCCACATTAGCCTGTTTGTCATTGTTTAGGACTGCAGCAGTTTCTTCATCTCTAACAATACCCTTCACCTTAGATCCTCCCCTAGGACTAAGTTTCTTCTTCTGATTGGATGACATTATCTCTGCACATTTACTTTGTGCCACATATTCAACTGCTTCAATTAAATTTGGCACATCAATTCCA